CCCAGGCAGTACAAATGGTGATCAGTAGAGCAAATAACTGCTGCTGAGATTTAAAAGATGGAAAGAATATGGTCCAAAATGGGGACAAATGTCCTCCATAAATTCTAGGACAAATGAACTTGAGTCAGAGCCAAAAGGATGAAAGGATCCTGAGGGGGAGCAGTCCTCAAAGTGGGGTCCCTTAGGCCCCTTCTGGGGTCTACTCGTTTTATGACAACACTGACAGAATTTGCCTTTGTAACCATCATGATGTAGATTGTTCTCTGGCTACGAGACACGTGGCTGAAACAGACTGGACGGAGGAGCAGACCGGAGAAGCCATTCACCTCCATTAGAGAGATTTGCAAACACAGAGCAATGTCATTTCTCAGTGAATTTTTGTAGATATTTCTCATAAAAATATGCAATTTATATTAATGTGTAATGGGCGTGCTATTGTTATTACTACATGGATTAATGACAATCTAAAATCTGTGGTTTTAACCTCTAGAACAAAACCCACTGGACAGCTATGACACACTGACTGAGGCGCTCTGGGGTCCTCGCTAACTTTAAGGTTGTCAAGGCATGGACAGCCTTGTGCATGAGCGCTGCCGCTCCAAAGCGAGGGTCGCTCCCTGGTGTCCCACGCCAGACAGGACCTGCGGGCCGCCGCACTCTGGCACTTCACCGGCGAGCCTTTAGAGCGCTGGCCCCGGTGGCGCTCTGTCCTCCGGGAGGCAGCCCGCAAGGCCTGGGGTCACTTTTGGTTGTCACACTGGAGGGGGTGGGGGACGCTGGGGAGCTTCCCGCAGAGTGCAGGGCCACCCGCAGCCCGCCGGGGAGGCCCCGGGCCCACCGGCTGCAGATGGCGGATGCCGGTCCCAGAGCAGCGGCCTGACAGGGGGCGCGTGGGGCTGCCGAGAGCCCAGCCCGTAGGTAGGGCAGGCATGGGTGCCAGAAGCGGGCAGTGCCAGGAGAGCCTGCTGCTCTACTACCTGGCGGGGGGACGGCAGGCTCCCGGCTCCCCTCTTCCAAACGCAAACATATTCCTGTCCCCTCTTCTTTCCTTAATGGAGCTGAGGGGGCGAGTGAGCCAAGAGGTAGCAATCAGAAGTGGAGAATTCCATTTCCTACCTAATAATTACACAGGAATTTCAAAAAAATTTAAAGCACTCTTCCTTTGGGCCATCTCTGAGTTTCTCCACAGCCCAGACCAGGGTTGTACAAGAACAAGCTGGGAAAAGAACTACAGAAAACGTGCCGCGGGAGGCCGTCTGTGGAAGCCTGAGCTCCAGGCAGAGCCCCGAGAGTGGCAGAGAGCGGCCCCTGGTGCTCTGGGGACAGGGGTCGGGTCCTCTCCCCTCTGCGGTGACAGTCACAGATGCCTCCCCAGGAAACAAACCTTGTCCTCCTCCAACGGACTGAAATTCCTGCTACAGGGGTCCTGGCTGGCATAGCTCAGTGACAGAGCACCAGCCTACGAACCAGAGGGTCGCCGGCTTAATCCCCAGGCAGGGCACAGGCCTGGGCTGCGGGCCAGGCCCCCGGTGGGGGGTGTGTGCGAGGCAACCACACAATGGTGTTTTCTCCCTCTCTTTCTCCCTCCCTTCCCCTCTCTATAAAAATAAATAAATAAAATCTTAAAGAAAAAAAACAAAGCATTCCTGCTACAAGGAATAGTGACTAGAGAGTCAAAAAGATTTTCTTGAAAAGCTATTTTTCATAAAAATGTTATTTATGTTAACGTGTAATGGGTGTTGTTATTATTAGATGAGTTAATAAATGTTTTCAAGATTTCAGTTTTAATTTCTACACCCCCTACACCTATGGGACTGAGCAAGCCTGGCTCCCTGCCTTAACCGGGAGGGGGAGGGGCGTGCAGCGGCGGCTGGGGAACATAAAGGGATGGGCTATAAAGGGAAAGAAGTTATTTCTACAGGTAGGTGTCAAAATGAGCTATCGAAATGGAGAACAGATTGTTCAGCTTTCTTTACAGCAACAAATATTATGTAAGAGTTACTGTAGAGACTTTCAAACAAAAACTAAGCTGAGGCAGTATGTACAAAATGTACACCCAGAAAACAACACTCGGACAACCTTTAATGTGCTTAAAACCAACCACTCTGGACACAGTACACAAATTAGAAAACAGCAACACCGCTGCATGGTCTGACCCTCCAGACGGCCCTTAGCACTCTCTGAGCAATTTACTAAGACTCTAAATATGCACGAGATGTCCCCAGGTATGTTTCCCCAGATGTGAGTGTCACACCAAGAACAGCTGCTCAAAGATGAGTTCCCTCTGGCCCTCCAGAGTGTCCCACCTCAAGTGGCCCACAAGCCCACCTGTGGCCTCACTCCTTAAAAGTGTGTCATAAAACACACCAGTGGCTGGTACTGGGAAGAAACTTTTATTTCCAGGACACGTGTGGACAAATAAGTGAAATGAAAACATTCTACTTGGAGTGGAAAAAAAGGAAAAGAGAAAAGCACCAATACATATTATTCAAGAAGCAGAAATTTCTAGGAAAAGGCAAAAACTGTGACCACTAGTTTGTCACATTGGAAGATACATCCTGCCAGACGTACTGCAGGGAAAACTTTCAAGAGGGGTCGCGCCTAGTCCCACACAGTGAAAAAATGGCCAAATCTGAACCTTTCCAAGGAAACAGCCACAGAAGTCAGGTTGTGGATTGGGGGCACCAGGAGTGAGCATTTCCACTGTCCACACTCTGGCTGAAACACCCTCCCTATGCCAGGCCTTACCGAAAACCCAGGCGGTCAGACGCTCCTCGCCGGAGCCAAAGAGCGCGCTGCAGGGCTTGCCACTGCCTCCGTGGTCCGCGAGGCGGGCGGCAGCTGGCCAGGACTACGGTGTCGGGACTGTCCCACACTCCAAGTTGCCCATTAAGCCAACCACAGGCCACACGCAGGGACACATTCTCTGTGGGGATCACACCCAAACCTGGCCCCTCTGCCAGGGCCAGGCGCCCGTTCTGCATGCCTCTGAGGCTGCGGCGCCCAAACGCGGGACCCATCCGCACAGCGGTGCGTGCGCAGGGCAGACCACACGAAGGCTGACTGTGCAGCCGATGTGACTTTCAAAGACAATGTGGGGACGGCAAACCAGGTGGCATCGTTCAGGTTAAAATATTCAAGTTCCGGGCAATACTGAGAGACAGGTGCAGGAAAGAGCACACAGCGGCAGCTTCGTCCGCCTGCCTGAGTCAGGCAGGTTTGCTAAGTGGGTGGAACTCAACGGGAAGAAGCAAGATGAAGACCAAGGGCAGAAAACAACAATAAAAGAGTGAGGCTCGACTCAAAGTTCAGATGAGCCAAGTGCTTCAGTTTGTCTCCCTGCAAAACGATTTACACACCATCGCCTAGAGTCGTGCTCAACATGCCATGTTGCCTGCGGGATCCTTACGAGGAAGCGCTGAAGGGCCCGCTGTTTCAGCCTGTGTCGGGGTGATTTCCAGCTCCGTGGCTCCAGCTCTTCGACAGGAGCACCGGGAAAAACACAGAATGACAACTGGAGCGTCACATCGACACCGCAGGCCCCATCTCAAGAGTCTTCAGCAACTGACAGTCTGGGAACCCAATCCCCCTTAAAAACATGCACTTTACACGTTAGTGGTTCTGGTAGCTTTCACTTGCGATGGGTGTTTCAGGGTCAAGCTTAACATTATGTATCCTCACAGCCAGGTTCTTTCCGCTAAAACAGGAATAAATGGACCGTTCCCACCGATGGCCCTTTCCGACGAGAACAGTGAGGGAGTTGGGTACGTGAGCAATGGGGGCTCAGGGAGCCCTAGGAAGTCTTAGCTGCTTTAATGAAAAACCAACAAAGTAATAAAAAGAAACAAAAAGCATACACCCTTCTGGAGGGTCTAAACTTCAGGTCAGTTTAATCAAAAGAGCAACCCGGAAGCAAGTCGATTGTAAGAATGCTGCAGTACAGCTGGACTGTCTGCTGTAAAGGAAGGGCAGAATGAGATGGGCACAAGCAGCCCCTAACTGCTGACAGTCAGGGAACCTTCTGGATCTCTGCTTTTTGCTTTGGGGAGAGCAACAGATTGGCTGGAATAAACCACCTGCCAAGTGCTTAGGATGCGCCCAGCGGTAAGGAAGAGATAGCCAGGGGCACAAAAAGAAAGGCCACCCGATCTGAACTCATTCTACTCATGGGAAGGCCTGACACTTGCAAATTAATGTCATTTGTGGTAAGACCAGAGCCCTCCACGACCCGGCTCTGGAGAACAGGACGCTGCTACATCAAGGAGCTTCTCTGCTCCGAATGATTCAAAAGCGCCTCTTAGCTCTGCCTGGAGAGAAAAGGCAAAGCCAGGGGCTGGCTCTGCAGATGCTCCCTACGCACACCTGCGTCAGGGGCTACACCGACGCCACCGGGCAGCCACTGTCCTCACAGGGCCTCTGGCTGTTCCCTAACAGGCCCAAAGTCAAAAAGCGAAAGAAGTCAGGACTGGCCACCGCAGACAGAACGGAAGTGTGAAAGATAGGAGACTGGACAAAAATCCACACCAGATAAACCAAAATACACTAACACTACTGGGGACTGAGGCTAAGGGGACCAGACATCCTGGAGCTGACCCAGGAAACCAGCAGCACCCAGCACAGCCAGGGGGTGGAAGGAGAACGAGCCGCTGAAAGGAGGGCCTGGCGCCTGCCAAGGAAGGCAGGCAGGACGAAAGCTGAAAGGGTCGCGTGCAGCTCCAGCTGGACAGCCCGCGCCGCTGCTCGATCCGAGGTGAGAGGGATGCATCCGAAAATCCCAGCAGCACAGACACGCACAACTGCCCTAAAAACCGGTCCTGTTTACTCAGAGTAGAATAGTAAAAACCAAAATACCTAAAAGGGAGGGTGACGAAAGACACTAGGAAGACAATCTCATATAGGAAAAAATTACGAAACCTTACGTTTTGTCAGCCCTGGTTTTTCTACCCTATGTTCAAAGCTGTTTGTGAAAAAGCAGAAAATGAGTATCTGAGGATACTTACCTCTGGTTCTATCACGTCTTGTCCTTCTTTTGAACTTTTCCCACTTTTTCCTGCTTTTGGTAATTCCTGGGGAACATCAAGAAGAATTCATTAGGCTTCTCAAAGTTTAGACTCCTGAACAACAGATACATCAAAATGCAGTTTTAAAACTGATTTAACAAGGACTTATGATAGTTTTAATTAATACCATCAAGAACTTCTCCATCGTATTGTTTAGATAGATACTCAATACTGCGACGCCACCCTCCTCACCACTGAAATGCAGGCTTCCCGTTTTACGTATTTGGGGTCGGAAACTTTAAGCAGAAACAGAGAACCCCCAATTTGTACAGGACTGTCAGCATTCTGAAAGACGCACATCTTCACAGCCCTCTCTTCACTCCCCGCTAAGCCCTGTGAGCGGGGATTTCTGGGGTGATACCGAAACGCTACAGAGCTCCACCTGAGGCGGAAACATGACGCCCCCCCAACCCCCGCGCCGAAATGCAAACGCGGCGCACACAGCCATCCCCGCGGCCACCCCGCTTGGTAGTATTTCGGAGCCCTAGAGCGGCCCTCCGGAGAGCAGACCCTTCTTCATAAGCATTAAGCAGGGTCCATTCGCTCCCCGCCCGCGTCCCTCCGAGGCGTCTGCAGCCCCCACCCCGAAGCCCCTACCAGGGTCTGTGAAGCTGGGGCAACCACCTCCGCGGCCGCACCTGCCCTCTCACGCCCACCGCGCACGCCGCCCCAGGCACCCACGCCGGCCGTCAGGACCCGCGCCCCGGCCCGAGCACCGCCGGCCCGGCACGACCCACCCCCGCCCCCACCCCGAAGCGGGCAGAGCGGCGCCCCCACAGCCCTCAGGACCCCGGCGCCGGGGGTCCGGGCGCAGCACCCCGAGCCCCGCCGCGCCCCGCTCCTGGGCAGTTCCCCGCCGCCCTCCGCGCGACCCCTACCCCTTCCCGCCGGCCCGTCTCGTGGCCAGGGCCCCGACTCACTTTCTCCTTCTTGTTTTTATTCGGCATGGCTGGTGCGGGCCGTCACCGCCGCCGCCGCCGCCGCCGCCCCCGCCGCCCCCGCCGCCGGCTCCCCGCAGCAGCAGCAGCAGCGCCCCCGCCCCGGCCGCCGCCACCGCCGCTGCCGCCGCCGCCCGGGGACTGAGCCGTTCGCTCGCTCGCGCTTCCCCTTTTCCAGGTTCCCAGAGGCTGCGGCAGCCGCGGCGGCGGCGGCGGCAGCGGCAGCGGCGGCGGCGGCGTCTCTCCGCCCCTCCCCCGGGCCGCCCCACCCCTTCCCCGGGCCGTCCCTCCCCTTTCCTCCCCTCCCCTCCCCACCCCCGGGCCGCGGTTCGCGTGCAGCCCACCCCGCCCCCCGCGTAGGCCCCGCCCCGCCTTCCGCCAGACGCCCTGCCATTGGCCAACGCGCCCACACGTGCCTTAACGCTCCTCTGCTTCCCGGCCCCTCGCGGGCCTCTTCCCTCGGTCCCTCCTCCGCCCCCCTCCGGCTCGCGTCAGTCTCAAGCCCAGTCGTAGCGGCGGCGGCGGCGGCAGCAAGGGTACGGCCGGGAGAGCCTAGCCGAGTTAGACCAGGGGGCGTGGGGCTGCGACTGCGGCGACTGGCCGGTGCCCGCTGTGTAGATGAGGGACGGAGGGAGCAGAGGGTAAAAGAGGCGTGGAAATGGCACGTTGGAAACGGAGGGCAACAACTAATGCAGTCTGCGCGGCGCGGACCGGTGCCAACGGCGGCCTCCCGGCCTCGTCCTGTCGCCGCCGCGCTGCTCGCGAAACTCGAAGGCACACACACGCGCGCCAGTGCAAGGGCCGGCTAGGAGGCCCGGGAGCCGCGCGAGCGGCGGTTTCCCAGGGCCCCGTTAGGCCCCGCCCACCGGGGCGCGTCCCCCCTCTTCCAGCGTAGACCCCGCCTACCGGTGCCCATCCTGAGGCTCCACCTGCTCCCCTGAGCTTTTAATTTATTCTTTAATTTGGCTTGATCATAAACCATACGAGGAAACCTCTGCATTTTGACCACTAGTCAGTGATTCTGTCACCTCGCTAATCGCTCTGGAGAGAGGAGTTTACGAAGGGACGGTTAACTTTGATACACGTACTACTTCCACAGTCTGTCTGTCCAGTGCCAAAACCTACTTGGAGACCCGATGGCAGGCATCGAGGTGGCAGGAATACAAGAGGCAGCGAGAGTGTAGGCGTGAACGGACTTCACGTGTGAGCCTCATTGGAGCATCACCCGCGATGATTAAGGAGCCGGATCTTAACTGGGCACCTGGAAATCATTGCGTTCTCTTTGGCCCGGGTATTTGCATTTCACTGAAAGTCGCCAGGCAAAGCATTTTCGGTTATTCTGTGCTGCTCTGCGATAGGAGAGAGAAAGGACAGAAGAAGGGGGGAAAAATATCTAAAGTGAGGAGTGTCGTGGGAGGTCCTGAAAGTAAGTTCTGCCTGCAGGTGTCTAAATGTGCGCTGTTAGAGGAATAATTGCTGAACAACCTAGAAAGCTCTATGTGCAGAAGGAGCGGTTTACGATTAGTATTTTAAGTGGGTTAATAATTTCTCCAAAACAAGTAGTTAGCAATGCCCTAGTTAATTTAATATCGTTTCATTTTTTAAAATAAAATACATGCTATCAATAGGATGCACCCAGTTTACATCCATATCAGTAAAAGAGTAGTTCTGAAAGTACCAGTTCATGATCACAGAGCTCTAAGGGGGTTGGGTGCTTCTCCAAGGCAAGTCCATGCCTCCGGTACCCTTGTATCACAGCCCCTGGTGAGTCATTCACCAGCAGACATTTGCTGGATGCCAGTCCTGTGCAAAGCGTGGTGCAAGGGATCCTGTGATGAACAATCTGTAGGTTCTAAAAAAAAAAAATTAAAATCTATTTTAATAAATTTTACATCCTAGTATTGAAGGATAATGGGAAAAACCACAACATGAGGGGCGACCCAAAAAACCCCGGATTATCTCCTGGGGCGTGGGCCCCTTGCACAGGCTTCCCTGACGGGGTGAGTGTTCTAGGGACCCACCTGTGTCAGTGCACCAGCTGGTGGTGGTGTGAGAGGCTGCATTTGGCTTCAGTGAATTTTATTCGAAGATTTGAAGCGCATTTGCTCGCTTGCCCATTTCATGATGGGTGACTTACGAGCGCACCTGCCCACACCACACTGTGTTCAGCAGTTTTTGACCAAAAACTGATGACATCCCCCCTCCGTGCCCCACCCTCCCTATTCATCTGATCTCACCCTGAGTGACTTTTTTGTTTCTCTGAATGAAAAAAGTCCTCAAAGGGAAATGTTTTGCCGACGTGGAAGAGGTGAAACAAAAAACGGCAGAAACACTAAAAGCCATCAACACTGACGAGTTCAAAGACTTTTCAGTAGTGGCAAAACATTTTGATAGGTGTATTGCAGCAAATGGAGGGTACTTCGAAGGTGACTGAAGTTTCAACACGTAAGAGTGAATACACAGTTTCTAATAAATAAATCCTGTCTCGGGGGGTTTCCCCTCGTATAATTCCATTTCCATGTGTACAGTAGGAAATACAGTGCCTTCCTTTTTTCCTCCCAAACCCCTCTGCCCAGGGGAGGGGATTAGACAGGAGAGAAATAACGTAGCCCGAGGTGTACAGCAGAAGAGCGGCAGTGGCCCAGGATTAGGAGGCTTTGGCGGGAGGAAGCCACCTGCAGTGGCTTCCGCGGAGCCGCCGCGGAGAGCAAGGCGACGCCTTGATTCGCAGCTGCAGCGTGCACAGTGTTGCGTGGGAGCCCTTCTCCTAAGTTTGCGGTTATTGATTTTAAAAGTCAGGAAACAGACGGCCCAGTCAAGAAGGCCTAACTGGAAGGGAATTAATGAAGGAGCACGTCCGCAGGCACGCGGAGGCCAAGCGATGGCTGAGGGGCAAAGCGCGCCGGGGCTGCGGGCCCGGGAGCCGACCCTCCCTGCGCCTCACCCGGGAGAGGGAGGCGCTGGTGCTCCCAGAGCCCGGCTGAGTGAGTCCCCTTCAGAGCGGTGTGCGGGGAGGGAGGACCGCGTACTCCTGCCTCCCCCGCCCCCCACCCACCCAGCCAGCTGGAGCCAGAGGGCCAGGAAGCCAGCGATGTTGCCTGGATGCTCCGCTCCAGGGCATGGGACATGGCAGAGAGGGGTGGGGGTGACTCTCAAGGGACCTTAAGTGGAGGAGAGCTCTGCATCAGGGAGCAATGGGAGATGCGGGGTGCGAAGACTCGGCCTCTGGGCAGCCTCCGTGTGACCTTGGCACAAGCCCTGTAAATCGAGGCTTCTCAAATCGGCCGATGCTTGTTCCCGGGGGACATCTGGCGGCGTCTGTAGAAAATTTGGTCGCCACAGCCGGCCAGGGCCGGGGGTGCCCAGGACAGCCCCCATGACAAAGAACCCTCCTGCCTCCCGCCGACCGTGCCGAGGCGGAGAAACGCTGGCCTACGCCCGCGCGGAACGGGTGTGGCGCCGCGCGCCCTGCCGCTCTGTGGCTGCGGTGAGCAGCGTGGCGGGCAGTGCGCGGGAACGCCAGACCTTGCTCAGGAAGGCGTCCCCCGTCTGGACGCGACGCTGCGGTCCCGGCTCCAGGGAGCGCAGTTCCCTCCCAGGTAACGGCGCCTGTCCTGGGAGACCGGAAATGACCACCTTTCTGCAGGAACTGCCATCCAAGTAATATAGTGAAACCACCTTTCTAAGGATTTAAAAAAATTTTTAAATCAACTAATTTTTAATTGTATTGTATTTTTCCATTACCATTTATCCCCACTCTACTCTCTTCCACCCCCCCCCCCCCCCCGCAGCCCCCAGCGATCACCGCACCGTCGTCCGCGTCCGGCCCGCATTCCCCGCCACAGTATGCAGGGTACCCGTTTCCCACAACCTCACCAGCTCTTGTTTTGTTCTTTTTTGAGAGCAGCTAACCTGCCTGGGGGAGGTGCTAACTCATCATGATTTGATTTGCATTTTCCTAATTATTAGTAATGTTGAGCATCTTTTCATAAGCTTGTTGCCTATTCATTTATCCTCTTTGGAGAACTACCTAATCAAATCTTTTGCCCATATTTTAATTAGGTTGTTTGGCTTTTTTGTTCTTGATTTGTTGGAGTTCCTTACATACTACGGATATGAATCCCTTATCATGAATATTTTTTTGCAAATATTTTCTCCCATCCCATAGATTGCCTTTTCACTCCATTGATTGTGGCCTTTGATACACGGAAGTTTTAAATTTTGATGTAGTCTAAATTATCCTTTTTCTTGGTTGTAGTCTGTGCTTTTGGTGTCATATCCAAGATGTTGTTGACAAATTCAATGTCATAAAGATTTCCTCTATGTTTTCCTCTAAGAGCTAATAGTCTCAGCTCTCATATTTAGGTCTTTCATCTATTTTGAGTTAGTTTTGTGTATGGTGTATCATAAGGGTCCAACTTTATTCTTTCACATTTTCAGTTTTCCGCAAACCATTTCATGAAGAGATTCTCCTTTCCCCACGAGTGGGCTTGGAACCCTTGTTTAAAATCACTTGATCATATATGTGAGGGTGTATTTCTGGGCTTTCTGTTCTTTTCCATTGTTGTAAATGTCTGTCTTCATGCCAGTACCATGCTGTTTTGATTACTCTAACTTTGTAATATGTTTTGAAATCAGGAAGTGTAACACCTCCAACTTTGTTCATCTTTTTAAAGAGTGTTTACTATTCAGGATCTCTAGAAATTTCATATGAATTTTAAGATACATTTTTCTGTCTCTTAAAAAAATTCCATTTTGATTCTGATAGGGATTGCATTGAATCTGTAGATTGCTTTGGGTAGTTTTGACATCTGAACAATATTAAGCATTCTGGTCCATGAACACAGGATGTCTATTGATTTATTGGTGTCTTCTTTAATGCCTTGCAGCAATGTTTCATAGTTTCCAGTGTACAAGTGGTTTACCTCCTTGGTTAAGTTTTTTCTAAAGTATTTTATTTTGATGCTATTGTAAATATAAGTGTTAATTTTCTTTTTGGATTGTTCATTGTTACTCTGTAGAAACAATTGATTTTTGTGTGCTGATTTTTGTATCCTGCAACTTCGCCAAATTTTTTGATTAGTTCTACAATTTTTTCAAGGGGACATTAGCATTTTCTAGATATAAGATCATGTGCTACTGTGCAGAAGTGGTCAAAGCGATCATCCTTTTCTTATTCCTGATATTAGAGGAAAAACTTCATCTTTCATCATTGAGTATGATGTTATCTGTTGGCTTTTTAT